ACCCACATTTGTTAGCTCTCTGGCATTGCAATTATACAAGCATTGTACGTGGCCTAAGCCTGTTTCATGTTCTACTGTACAATGCCAACCAGCATCTCCATTCTGTCCCAGAACCTCAGTACGTATTCCACCACAGAGACCTTGTGTAACTGACTCACCTGATCCTTGTCTCAGCGCGGCTCGTCGTTACACCTTGGGACTGGCAATCTGATGCCCCCCCAAGTCTATTCTGGACCTTTTCTTGTACCAAAAAAAGGCCCCTCATTAGCCTCATTATTTTATGCACAGCATTTTTTTTGTGGGAAAAAGTAAATAAAAAATGTAGAGCATCAGTACACAAATAATGATCAAATGCACAAACATACAAAACACAACTACAGAGCATTAAATTAAATAAACTAACCTCCCCTAAATTCACCCCCAAAAAATCCACATCCTCTTAATAAAGAAAAAAAGCAGACATTTTAACTAAGCAGTTCAAAGAAGGAGTTTGAATGTTTTTCTTCTTAGGGATAATTTTAGCAGCTGAAAGTCGTAATTTTGTGACAAAGTCTTGCTAAAAAAACATTTTTCTGAAATCACTCTGTTTATTTGTATTTTCAGAGAATGCTGCAGTATTATTCAAATTGTCCTTTTGCATTCAAGGCTGAAAAGGTGAACAGTACTATATGTTGCTGTAAGTACGGTCACATATATAGTTATGCTTCTGCTTTATACTCTTAACAACTGAATAAAATCCATCATTCAATAATTCCTCCTCTGTGCTTTCACCTCGGTGTTTCAGGTTGACAGATGCCTTTGTGATTTACATATTGTAATACTTAGGCTGCAGAAACACAGGTATTCAAGTCAAGAATTTAGCTCAGTGTAACAGTGCAGAGAGTAGATATTATCAGTGTTATTCAGTGGCCCAGTACTAACAAGGATTTAGGTGACATTTTTTAATAGCATATCATTGTGTTAAAATATGTACTGAATGCAATGTTCCCTGACCATTACCCAGCCACAAATGCTTTGGCAACAAATGCCAACAGATGAACTAATGACAGTGCTTGCTACTCGTATATTAGAATTTGTTAAGAGTATCAGAGGCATCTGATAAGATAAAGTTTTTTTCAAAATGTTCCCTGCAAAGCAAAATCAGAGCTGGTTAAAAAACAAAAAGGGGTTATTAACAAGGTTATATTTTTAGGTCCTGCAATCCTATATTCACTCAACAATTGTTTGCTTATATACCCCTAGTATGCAATAATAAGCATCAACAGTAATTATACAGCCTGGTAAAAAGCCTGCCATTTGCAGAAACTTCCCAGTTAGAAAGATTACCCTGTAGAGCCAATGTCCTGGAGATACTGGAAGGACAGAGAGAGAACTCCAGGAGAAAGAGCAAGGATGCCCTATACAGCCTAAGATTTGCGAGAAAGACTGCCCTGGTGCATTAATCCATGTGTAGAGACCATGGGGTGAGTCAGAGACTGCCTATTTACCAACCCACAGAACTGTGAAGGGAAGCTGGACTATCTGCACAGATCCAGCATCGTGACCTACTATTTAATATTTATAAGGTATAAAACAGCAGATCACAGCAGCATGCCCCAGCTGGAATAGGCTGTTTCTCTGGCCAGCTCTGCAGGCTGATGATGACACTACTGCATCGGGCGATGGTAACATAATCCATCTGCATCAAAATTCATCAGTTGGTGTTGGCCAGGCCCATGCCTACTTGGTCCATGGCTCCCTAGGCCACCTTGCCTCAATCTAACTTCAGTAAAAACATAAAATTTAAAACACCTGAACTATTTCCTATTATTCACAATCCTCCTTCTGAAAAGAAACTGCAGTTTGTATTGATTTGACAAACATTAGAGTTTGAAAAATCATCCTTTTGTACACAATCCTATACTGATTATGACAATTTGTAGACTAGTCATGAAAAAATATTTACAGCACCAAAAAAAGGATTTACACACAAATTTCATAAACACGTATCAACTCATGTTATTTTTTTTTTATCATATTGCTCCCTAATCAGTGTCCAGGGGACATAATCTTTTACTCTGCATACATATTGCTCTGCAGGTCCTCTAAATTATCTAAAGAACTGTTCAGCAGCAAAAGTAGTGAGGAGCAAGTGGAGGAGCACGAAGCAAGGCTCAGGTGTGCCCAGCCTCAAATATCACCTAATAGAGGGATATTTTGTTTATATATATATATATATATGGATCTTCTGAATACAGCATTTCTGTATCTATTCATAACCTCCACACACTTTTTATAAACAAGTTCATTCAACCACACATCTATTTGTGATCAACAAATGATCTGATCTGTTATAAACAAAGATGGAAAATCTGAGACTTGCCGTTTGTAATTAGGATTATTACAAAGTTGGATTTATCACTCAATTTCTGCTCTGATCGGTGCACACTAAGGGATTCTATTGTCATGTAGACTGCAGATTATGTGTTATCTGTAAATATATATCTATGGAATAACCCGTTATCACTCAGTACTATGTAAGGAATTTGTACATTAGTTATGTAAAAATTTGACTGTTGCTTTGAAATGCATGGCTGGCCAATTGACTCACTATTCCCATGTGACACCTATGTGGACCACCGGTTTGCTCCCTACTCTCATGATCTATGTCTCCTCTGTATGTTGAGTTCCGAGCTTCATCCGACATGTACCTGCCATGGGAATCTACAGCAGAGCCCTTATTTTTCCTATGTTAGTGATCGCATCCTATGCCTTTACCTTACTTTCTGACAACTACCTGTATATTGCGTAATCACAACAACTGTTACTGTGTTATGTCACGCACACATTGCTGTTCACTGAGCCACCCCTGGGTTCCATTGTTATAATTACCTCTTGGAGGTGATATCTGTTCTTTTCCTTTCTTTATGTACGATTGTCTTAATATCTGGATTTTTCTAATGACACTGTGTTGTGTACTGATGTATTTAATATTTTTATGTCAATAAAAAAATCTATATGGGGAAAACAATTTTTTTGACTGTTGAGAAATAGCTAAGTATAGGTTCCCGTAGGCTGTATGCACTCAGACATCTGTTATGGGACCATGTTGAGTTGCAGTTTATTGTGACTGTCCACGTTAAAATTAGTGCACCTCAACTGTCAAATGATGTTGTAATGAAGAATGTCAAGATTGCTTGGGATGAGTTAATCTGCCGGGGTTCAGAATGTTAGCAGATTCATTAGTCTTGCTCCAAATCTGAGGTTCGCAAACTTTGTGACGAACCCTGTTGAAGTCTAATGGGGAAGAGGGTTGACTCTTGGTATTCAGTTCTGGCCATTTGTAGGGCTAATTATTGTCAAACAAAAGGCACAGGAAGCCAGGTGCTGCATTGGGAGACATGTACCCACAGCAAAATAAAAGTATTAATTTTTTTCAATCTTAAAAATACATTTGAGTACCCTAACTATAAACAGAAATGTATCTTATTTGTGTATCACTTAGCTGTAGATCCTCAAATCATCTCTGAATTGGTGCTGACACTGTCCTTCCTCCTGGAAGGTGGCTACTTTTGTTCCCCATGGTTCCTGTGTGTGCTGTAAAGTAGCCACTGGTTCAAGATCTTGCTTTGAGCTTCTGAATTGGGGCTTCTGAATTGGTTGGAAAGCCAGGCTGACTAGCAACAAGTGAAACTGCCTTCCTTGTTATGACCCGCCTCCCGGCTTCCTGATTGGCTAGGAAGCCAGCTTCATGATGCAAGGCAGCCTGGCTTCCTGACCAATCAGGAAGCTGGGTGGCACATCATGACCAGCCTCTTGGCCTCCTGATTGGCTAGGAAACCGGCTTTATGATGTGAGGCCGCCTGGCTTCCTGATTGGCTGAGAAGCCAACTCCATTCTCCCTTGTGGCACTGCTGGCCAGAGGGAGATCTCCCTCTGACCGGAAGTTCCGGTATGAGGGGTAAGTATCGGAGCACTGATACTCACCCAAATACTCAGTATCGGCACCGGTGCATTCCTACTTTATGGATTCAACTTATGTTGGAAGTTGAACAAGAAAGGTAAACAATGTTTGCAATGTTTTGTCCTTCAGTCTTCATCCCTTATGCTCTGGAGTTGCAATCTTAAAGGAGAACTATGAGGTGAGTGCTTTTCACTCACCTCATAGTTCTAGCCGACCTGTGACAATGAAACTGTCACAGGTTGGCTCTGGATTCCCCTCTCCCCGCTCCGATCTGCCAGCGCTGCCTGGCGGAACGGACGGGGGAGTGGGTGGGTACAGCTGGCTCTGCCTCTAGTTAGGCAGAGCCAGCTGTCACTCACGCAGCTGGGCGGATCCCGTCGTCTAAGTCGGGATACGCTCCGGCTGCGGCGTCTCAGTATACCGCGAGCTGTAGCTTGCGGTATACTGAGCTTAGGGTAACGGGAGGACGCTAGTTTGTGTCCTCCCGTTACCCTGAGGAGAACTATGGGGAAAAACACTGACCCCATAGTTCTCCTTTTAACTTGCTCAATACAACTGCATTTGAGCTGCAGAGTGCTGAGCTTACTGTTACTGACAAGTACAACATACCGCAATGCAACACAGACCTACATAATTGCTCCTTCTGGGTTGCACATTACTGAATATTTTGAATAATGTGGGGTTTTTAGAGGTTTTTCTTATGGAGGAATCGTTTAACCAAAATTCTTTGATAATATGAAGTAAGTGAACAAATAATGATTTCAGTGTTTTTCATGCACTGTGGTGACATGCGCTGTGGGATCGCAGAACAGACAAAGATATCCTCTTAGCATTTAAAAAGCAAAAGTAAATATGCATTACAAAAATTTAAATAAATACTTAATTGACAACCAACATCTTCCAGATAAGCAAATTTTTATGCTTTTTAAAACATTTTGGTGTGCATGAGCCCTTACTTTTATATAATGTATTGTAATGTTTAATGTAACTTGTATTTCAATGTACTGCTGTCTGATCGCAGAGTTACAATTAATTAATGACTGTGGTAAAAACTTACCTGGCTGTAACCCTTGGGTCAAACTTGGCCCGGTACCTGGCAACTTGGTTGTTCTTTGCCTCAATGTCCCGATCTCTTTTGGTTTCCTCTTGTAGCCCCCAGAATTCAGCTTTGCATTTTACCGGCTCGTTGCAGAACTGGACTGGAACCATAGCGCGGATCAGTTTGACATAGTAAGGGTTCTTCTTTAGTGGAGGCTCCATAGGCTCTGGGAGCACCTTACTGCTTGCTCCACACCCCATCTCAGGAGGTCAGGGGACTGAAGAACACAGCTAGAGGACAGGGACCCATCACACATCCAGGTAACCCGACACAAAAAAAGGACAGAAATTCTCATGAGCAGCTTATTGTATCCTCCTACACACTCAGAGCTCAGCCCCTTCTTTGTGACACAGACATGTTACTAAGGGGAGGCAGTCTAAGAACAACATATATCACCTTAGAAAGACATTAGTGAGGAAAGTCATTAAAGCCTAGCTCTGGCTTTACTCTTATTACATAGTTGCAGAACAAATTCAAATTGCTCATCCATGTGATAATCTGCCGGGGGGGAAAAAAGTTTTTTTAGACTTGTACTCTAACATATGGCAGTACTCCAAAGACATGCTGAAAGGCTTATTGGCTCCTGTCTAAATTGGCCCTGTATGTGAGATAGGCACCTTAGATTGTAAGCTCCTTGAGGGTAGGGACTGATGTGCATGTGCACTATGTAGAAGAGCTGCATAAATTGCCAGTCATATATAAATGCCAATAATAATAATAATAATAATATCAGTGTGTGGGCATCCCCTAGATTTCAAGGGTGAGAAATAATCTGCTTGGATATCAAGAATGCATTAGTGAGTTCATGAAGCTCTACTTTGACCTGAACAACTTAACTGGCTGGCAACACTCATGAACTCCCAATGTTTTTCAGGTTTAGCCATCGCTGTGAATAGCCAATGTGTTGCAGAATGGGCTGCCTGCAGCTTGCAGGGAACATTCTCTGACACCTTAGTCTGCATGTGTACACGTAACACATAGTCTGCCCGATGTGTTAATATATGAATGAATTCAACTGTGCAGTCCCTATGCAGTCCCTAGCATTTGACTCTGTCTATTCATCTGTATAGTTGCTTGGTACAACAATGGATTTAGGTTTACTGCAGCCAGATTGATGAAAAATTATCTGCTGTTATTGGTTACTGGCAACACACAGGCAGATTTACAATTACTAATATCAAGAAGAATCTCTGGTACTCAGAACAACAGCCAAGCGCCACTGATTCTATCACTAACTGTTAACCCAAAAAATGTAATTTCTAGAAATATTTCAGATTCACTCTGCTGTTTAATGTACATGAATTGTTGAGCACTTGCTCAGAAAATAATACTTCAGATGTAATCATTTAACCCCATACTAAATTCACCATGTGTTGAATATACTGTACACTGACTCATACAAACACCAGCTCATTTACTGGTCTCAAATAATGATGATAATAATAATAATTATTATTATTATTACTATTCAGGATTTATGTAGAGCCAGCTGTTTGTGCAGTGCTTTACTTTATAAAGGTAGACAGTACGGTTACAATACAATTCAGGACAGGGCCGTCCCTATGGCCAAACCCGTGCTGTCAGCATCCTGCTCAGCTCTTGGCACCCAGTGACATCGGTGAGCTGGGCGGGAGGCCAGACACAACGTCACAGGTTGCTAAGAGATCTTAGCAACTTGGGATGCTGTGGCAGCCCTCCTGCCACACCCAATGAGATGCTGCCTGAGGCAACCCTCAGGATGCCTCAATATAGGGATAGCCCTGGGGTTATGAGAATTCTAAGAATTCTAAGCATCAATGATTCGTATTGCTTTGTAGACCTTTTGAATCTTTTTACACCATGTGGTCTATAAATGTAGCTATGGAGCATTCTTGGCATAGGGAAAAATATCACAATATCACATAGCAAACACACATATGCAGTAACATGGTAATGTCTGCAAAACATGCCCTCTATGGTCAACATGAATCTGTACAGTCCTATTGAAGATAGTGATGTTCTGTTAATGAACCATATCAATATTGATAAAGGTCTAATAATAACTTGGAATTCAGCACAGTTAATATCCATAGATTAGAAATAAATCATGATAAGACAGTTAGTAGGCTGGACATCCGCTTAGTAATCCACAGAATAAGTGACAACAGACTGACTGCAGCAGCTGCATGGAAAGGTTTTGTCACCATCAAACCTATTATCTGATTCTACCTATTAATGAGTAAAATATGTGAATACAACCAGTCGATAACTCTTCTTTATACTCTTTTTTGTAAACACCTTTCTTTTTCTTTTTTTTTAACAGAAGTATGTTAGAGGTTCATTCATTTTTTACCTTTGAGGACAAATACTCATCATCTATTTCAGGGGATCCCTGGCTAAAATATTCTCTTTGTGTCTTCCTTGGTTTAGGCTTCACTACCAGAGATATCAGCAACCCAGAAAATGCATGAGGTCTAATATTGCTGAATTGTCACCTTTGCATGCTGTACTAGTATTTTACATCCCTCTGCTTCAGCATTATAGAGCAAATTATTGAGGAAGAAGGCTTTGTCAGAGCATACTGCACTAGGCATTGGGGTTGATTTACTAAAGGCAAATAGGCTCTTCATCTTTCAGGGAAGGTTTTCCATTAGTTTAGTGAAGTTCTGCTGACTTCCATCATCCAGTCATGTGCAAGCGAAAATACTGTTTTTTTGTTGTTGTTTTTTTTTATTTTCCTTTCTTATGATTGGCAAAGTGACTTATCACCTCATTCAATAAGCTAAATGAAAATTCCCTTGCAAAGTAAACAGCCTAATAGCCTTTAGTAATTCAACCCCAATGTCTATTCCTTCAATGACATGTACAGTATATCGCTGTTTCTATTGAGACTGAGATGATGTCTGATTACTGTAAAGTGTTTGAGTATTGGTCACCCCACAGAAAAAAGGACAATTCACAGCAAGTAGGAGATTAGAGGAGAACTGTATAAAACTGAGACAGCTGTAAAGACACTGTGGGGAACAAATAAGAGGAAGTTACACCAATACACATTGTGATTTGTAACTCATTATTCCAGCAGAAGTGGAAAAACAAACTGTACACAACACTTGATTAGCATGTCTATGTGATAAGTGAGAGAGACTTCTCTACTGTATGTCTGGATCATCTCTACGTTGCTTATTCAAGTAAATCGTTCACATAGCAGTAATCTACAGCAACAGCAGTTTACTTTACAGAATTCAGATCTGCTAATTACTTTGCTAACTTTTCTCTAAAGCCAGGTATACACGCTTATATTTTCTTCATGTAACCTGTGGTCTGAACAAAGAAATATAACAGACTTCTCCATCTGCGCTGAACAGTGTGAATGAATTTCCCGCTGTTTACATTGTATTCTGACAGCAGCCACCAGCTGATTGGCCGCTGCTTGGCTGCAAGTACTGTTCGCCCAAAACTTTTCTAACATGTTCCTTCTGCCAAAGCTGATCTAATGATCAACTTCTGCCGTGGAATAGGGTCACCCAACGCAGTGAATTTTGGCCGATTCCTGTTGAATCTGCAGAAATGTGTTGCACATGTACCCAGCTTAAAACTGCATTCACACCTAAGTGTAAGCAAAGACAGGCAATTTAAAGGCTTTTTTAAGTGTGTGTTTGTAGATACATTTTCAAGCATTTGTATGCACTACTTGTAGTACAGGAGCAGAAGCAAGCATTTTGGCCCCATAGGCATTTAAAATAAGAACGTCTGAAAAAAAAGCTTAAACAGACACTTTTCAAGCGTATTTTATGTGTTCTCATTAAATTCTATGAGACCAAAAGAACCTAATTCTGCCTAAAAAGAAAGTAATGTAAGTTTTGAGGTACAGGAGTTTTGCTACAAGCAACAGAATGCCCAGGTATGAACAGCGGTAATTGAAAACAATGGGATTCCTCTTGTTAAGCGTTGTAGTGCCTAGGCAATCCAGCTACGAAACATCTAGTTGTGAATGGGGCCTAAATGGATACTGTATTTGAACAATAATTTTGCCTTTACTTTGTCTTTTTGTATAATGATCCAAAGAGTCACAGCAGTTACACCACTTTGGCATCATTTCTTCCAATTTGCAAACCTTTAGCTTAGATTGTATTCTTTTTGTACATGATTGCTTGTAGTATTTCGCTGTTTCATTATTTGATGTTTATTGCTGTATAAAATGTTGCCACTTTATAGATAAAGGTTAATATTAATGTATATTGTTCTGCCTTTCCAGTCTAAGCATTAAAAGTGTGATCTCTATAACTTACAGTTGTGACGAAAAAGCAATAACTCCAATTTCAGTGAGTTGGCAGACAGTTGACTCAATCCATATGACACCTTGAAGATCATTGAGATGTTCATCCAAACTGTTCAGATTTTACACCAGAGAACATAGGATAGGTCAACAGATCATAATGTGATCCACTCAGCAAAGAACATGTGGCTGAAATGCAGACAGGAACATAATGAAGAAGGAAGGAGCTATCTACCCAGAGGAAAACGGAACTCTGGGGAGGTGTGCAGACAAATACCAGAGATAGATAAAGCAAATAATATCTAAAGGTATATCACAATGCATAAGTAACATACCTAAAAATATCAAAAATAAAATAATTCCTGAAAGGCAATACCATCAAAACAAATTCTTATTTTCATAAACAAAACAATGAATATTATTTCAGCATCCAATGTAAAGATAAATTAATTGGCAAATAAAAAAATGTGAATTATGGAGGAAAAACATTTTCTATTACGAAAAAAAATAAAAACATCTGGTACTATTATACAGTATACATACAGTATACCCCAAAATAACATTATTTTGATTGCAACAGTATCAGCTTGTAAAGTTTTATTTCAGATGTAATAGCACTACATGATTTAGAAACTTAAAGTGACACTAAGGCTTATGTTTTTTTTCTCCAAATGCTGGTGTAAAGACTTACCTTATGTGATGCCTCTTTATGTATACATCTTCCTCCTTTCACCCATTTCAAGTCACCCCCTTAGTGACTTGAAACGGGTGGAAACTTAGTTCATGTAAAAATGCTGAGAGTGTAATGGATCAAACTTTTCCTAGCACATGTGCATTATAATAAGTATGACTACATTTGTACAGATAAGAAGCAAGACAAATGTTCCAATCTGGGCCTTAGATTATTCTTGTCACTACGGTTGAAAGCGATTGTCGATTTGACCCCATTAACTATCACAAAATAGAACCAATGTTTTCTAACTAAATTCTAAATGTGTATTGCTCACTCTAGTTGGGCAGC